ACTTGTGTTGTGCAGTGCCTGTGGAGGCCAGAAGAGGGCATTGGATCCCCTAGAGCTGGAGTTACAGATGGTTGGCTGTTAGCTTCCATGTGGGTGCTGAGAAACAAACCTGGGTCTTCTGCAAGAGCGAACCAGATCTTAACTGGTGAGTCATCTCTCTAGCCCTTTGTTTTTTGGAGAAAGGTTCTCACTAAATACCCCAAGCTAGTCTTGAAGTTGTGAGTCTCCTGCTTCACCTTCCTGAGTAGCTGCAATCATAGACATGTGTCATCAGGCCAGGCTAGGTTTATCATTTTTGTTTTGTTTGTTGTGTGTTGTTGTTTTGTTTTATTTTTTGCCACAGTCTCATGTCTGACTGGCTTTGAACTCACTATGTAGCTGAGGATGACCTTAAAATTCTGATCCTCCAATACCCACCTCCAGGGTTGCTGGGATTATAGGCATGTGCCACCACACTAGCTCCTAGGTTAGTGGGTTTTTTGTAATATTTATTATTATTAGTTTTTCTTTTTGTCTTTTTGAGACAGGATCTCCCTATAGCCCCAGCTGTCCTGGACTATGTAGACCAGGCTGGCCTTGAACTCACAGAGATCCACCTGCCTCTGCCTCCCGAGTGCTGGGACTACAGGCGTGTGCCACCACGCCCGGCTAATATTTATTATTTTCATTTTATGTGTATGAGTGTAATGCCTACATGTATTTAAGTGAACCTGTGTTGTGCAATGCCTTCGGAGGCCAGAAGAGGGTGTCAGATCCCCTGGAACTGGAGTTATGGATGGTTGTTAGCATCATGTGGATGTTGGGAACAAAACCCAGATCCTCTGCAAGAGCAGCCAGTGCTATTAATCACTGAACCATCTCTCCAGCCCCATGTTTTAAATTCAGGTTGTTTATGCACTCCAACTCCTCTACCACAAGATTATTTTGACTATTCTAAGCCCTATTATGTTTTTGTTGTTATTGTTTTTGTATTTTTTTTATGAGATAGGGTGTTACTATATAGCACAGGCTGGCCTTCAAATTGTTACCCTCCTGCCTGGCTGAGACTTCCTATTTTAGTTCTAACCCCTCATGTAGAACTGCAACGTGCCCCTGGTGAAAATCTGGATCACATGGAGTTCATCTACTTTGCTTCTCTTCTTTTGAGGTTGTGTGTCCTCCAGTTTCTCTGCCTGGTTTTGGTTGTTCTTCCAGCCTTCCAGATGGTGGTTTGAGTGAGAAATGTGCTCCATAGGCCCTAAGTATTTGAATACTTGCTCCCAGCTGATGGTGGTGTTTGTGGAGGTTAAGGAGGTGTGCGCTAGCTGGAGGAAGCATGTCACTGGGAGTAGGCTTTGAGGGTTCTGAGCCTCGTTCCACTTGGAGTTTCTCTCTGCTTCGTGCAAATGACTGAAGGTGTGAGCCCTCAGATTTCTGCTCCTGCCACCTCCTGCCATGTGCCCCATACCATGATGGACTCTAATACCTCTGGAACTCTAATACCTCCTTCTATAAGTTGCCTTGGTCATGGTTTTTATCACAGCAACAGAAAAATAACTAATGTACTAACCAACCTGGGATAAGACCAACACTGAGAGGTTATGGCAGGAGTTAGACTCTGCTACATATCCATAGAAACTGGTGGTTACTAATTTAATGTTTGTTTTATTGAAAAAAAGTTAGGGGAATGAAGGGATGCCTCATCAGTTACTGCTCTTCTAGAGGACCTGGGTTCAGTTCCCAGCACCCACACGGCAGTTCACACACATCCTTAACTCCAGTTCCAGGGGCTCTGACTCTCTCTTTTGGCCTTCACAGGCACCAGGCACACATGTGTTGCACTTACAGACATTCAGGCAAAACACTCATATACACAAAATAAAAATAAATAAAATCTTTTTTAAAATTCTAGCCAGCCATGTATGGTGGTGCATGCCTGTAATTCCAGCTACTTAGGGAGGTCAAGACAGGAGGACCACAAGTTTGATGCTGCACTGGGCAACTTACCAGACCATGTTTTAAAATGAAGTATAAAAGGGCTGGGGCTAGGCATGGTGAAACATGCCTATAATTCAAGCACTTGGGAAATAGAGGCAGGAGAATCAAGAGTTCAAAGTCATTCTTGGCTACACAGTGAGTTCAAGGCCAGCCTGAGCTACATTGACCCTGTCTGAAGAAAAAAAAAAGCTGAGGATGCAGTTTAATCCCAGATTATTTATTTGGCATGTGTGATACCTTGGGTTCAATTCCTAGCACTTAAAAAAAAGAACTGGGTGCCACTGGATGTGTCTATAATCTGAGCTATATCAGATGCTTAGGCAGGAAGACTGCCTGAGTGAAGTTCAAAGCCAGCCTGGGTAACACAGCAAGACACTATCTCTAAATAAATAATTGGTAAATATTTCCAAATGTTCTTTAGAAAGGCTGTGCTCTTGCTGGGCATGGTGGTGCATGCCTTTAATCCCAACACTCAGGAGGCAGAAGCAGGCAGATCTCTGTGAGTTCAAAGCCAGCCTGGTCTACATAGTGAGTTCCAGTCCAACCAGGGCTACAGGGAGACCCTGTCTCAAAAAGACCAAAAAATTAAAAAATAAAATAATAAAAATAAATAAACAAAAATTTAAACAAACAAATAAACAAAGAAAGAAGCATATTCAGGGCTAATATGTGATCCCCTCAACCATTTGCTGGTTGGAAGATTCTTGGATACCCAGAACATCTTCATCTATCTTCCTGAGATTCAGACGTTGAACCACTGTATAGTACAGGACTGGCTGTATCCTCACTAAAGTTGTATTGCTGACGTCAAAGCAAGAAAGTGCATTTCCCAGGCCTTTGTGCTTGGAGAGGGCTATGGGACTTCTTCCCGTCACATTTTCTTCCTTTTTCCTGTCTGCCAGGTGGCTGATGCCAGAGTCAATCTTCTTCTTCCTTTTCACTAGTTTACTCTTCTTTTCTTTCAATTTTTTTAATTGATTTTTTTTTGGTCTTTTTGAGACAGGGTCTCCCTGTAGCCCCAGCTGTCCTGGAACTCATTATGTAGACCAGGCTGGCCTTGAACTCAGAGATCCGCCTGCCTCTGCCTCCTGAGTGCTGGGATTAAAGGTGTGTGCCACCACGCCCAGCCCTAATTGTTTTTTATTTTCTTTTCAGTCCTGGATACTGAACTCAGAGCCTTAAGCGTGCATATATACTACCACTTAGTGTATCCCTAGACTTACTGGGTTAATTAAATTAATGAAGTAATTCACTTATTTAGAAAAATAACAAGGACTTTATTCAAAAGCAAAATCATATTACAGATGAGATTCATTGCAAGAGAGCAGCAAGATCCTTGATTTGGAGTATTCAAGGGCTGAGGTTAATTTTAAAGCCACATTAAAAAAAATCATCAAGGAGGCCAGGTGTAGTGGCTCACACCTTTAATCCCAGCACTTGGGAGGCAGAGGCAGGCACATCTCTTTGAGTTAGAGGCTAGCCTGGTCTACACAGCACATTCCGAGACAGCTGTGGCTACAGGGAGACCCTGTCTCAAAAAAAAAAAAATCATCAAGGCCAGTGAGATGGCTCAGCAGGTTAAAGGCACTTGCTACACAAGCCTGATGACCTGAGTTTGATCCCCAGAACCAATGTAAAGGTGAAAGGAGAGAACCAACTCTACAAAACTGTCCTCTGACCTTCATAAGCACTGCCACACACATATCATTCACACCACAATAATAAATGAACAACAAAATTATTATTATTATCATCATTATTATCATTATAACCTGTGGTGCTAGGTATTGAACCCTAAGACTGTGCATGCTAAGCAAGCAATCTACCACTGAGCTATATCCCTAGTCCCTATTCTTTTTTTTTTTTTTTTGGTTTAAAGTTAGCATACAAGGTAATGGGCTTCATTCACTTTCACACATGTATATCATTAGATTTCACATTCTTCCACCCATTACCATCTCTCTTGTCCTTCCCCACCACCAGGTCCTTTCAACCCCCCACCAAAATAGCCTTTCTTCTCCTTTCAGATACTCTGTGTGTATGTGCACATGTGTGTGCGAGTGTGTCTAGATTCTGCACATGAAAAAAGATATGCAATATTTATTGTTTAGAGTCTGGCTTGTTTTGGTTGACACCATCATCTTCACTTCCATCCATTTTCTGGCAAATGACATAATTTCATTTTTGCTTTGAGACAGGATCTCACTCTATAGCCCGAGCTGGCTTCAAATTCATGGTAAGCCTCCTCTGTTTATCTGTTTATGGGCACTTAGATTGGTTTCATATCTTGGCTGTTATGAACTGTGCCACAATAAACATGGATCTGCAAGTATCTCTATTCTATGCTGACTTAGCTTCCCCCCAGTATATGCCCAGGAGTGATATGGCTGGATCATATGGTAGTTCCTTCCTCACCAGTGGTTGTTGTTTGTTTTCTTGATGGAGTGAGATGGAATCTCAATGCAGCTTTGATTTGTATTTCCCTAATGTGAAACCACATGTTACAGATGGAAGAGCCACAATGTAGAATGTGCTAAGGTCTCAAAATATATCACTGTGTGGAACAGGATGTCTCTGTTGACCAGTAGCTGCATGTGCTATGGCCAAGAAGTAATCACTGAGGATATTGAAATTGTAGGTATTCTTATTCTTATTATTGGCAGGATCTAGTCATGTAGCCCAGACTGGCCTCAAACTCGTAATCCTCCTTCCTTGGCCTCCCAAGTGCAGGTTTAGAGGTGTACACTACTGCTCCCAGCTTTGGGGTTGTTCTTCTGTAGTAGTTAGTGTTTCACATTCTAATAAACTTGCCCACCAATACCTCATGAGTGGTAAAGCTACTACTGGAGACCAACCTCATGTCTCTTTTAATGGTTAACAAATCTTATTCACATGTACCTTGAAAAATTATTAAATGAATGTACTAGTTTACAAAATACCTTATTACAATTAAGAGCATGCCTATAAATGACTGAAAAATGAAGGAAAATAGTAACCTAATTAGTTGAGAAACTATGACTTACCTAGAGATCGAATGCCCTTTTCTTCAAGAAAATTGTGTAGAACATCTACATTAACTTTTAATATAAGTCCTAGTTCTGGTGTAAGTTTCCAAAAACCATCCTATGAAATGAAGAAAACAAATATAATCAGATCAACAAGATCAGTCAACATTCCAATGAGCAGTACTAAGTGGACTCTAGGTTATTAACAAGAAAAAAAGGAGAGGCCAGCCTAGTCTATATAGTGAGTTCCAGGACAGTGTTGCAGGCCAGTTCCAGTGTTACATAGTGAGATTTTGTCTGGAAAACAAAAAACATAAAAGAAAGAAAAAGAAAAACCGAGAAGAAAAATTCTCCAGCTGGAGAGAGGACTCAATGGTTAAGAGCAAGTACTGCTCTTGCAGAGGACCTGAGTTCAATTCCTAGCACCTATGTTGGGTAGCTCACAACTACTTATAACTCCAACTCCAGGGGCATCTAACACCTCTGGCCTCTGAAAGCATCTGCATTCATGTGCACATACTCGTACACAGACACATAATTTAAAATAATAAGATCAATAAATAAAATCTTTTTGAAAAAAGGAGAGGACACAAATAGGGAAGGTGATGTGTTAGGGGCTGCTGGAGGGGAGTAGAAAGGAGGAGTTGATGGTTCCTGGTGAGGAGCAGAAGGGCAGAATTGGGGATGTATATGATCAAGATGCATAGTTTATATGCATGAAATTGTCAAAGAGTGAATAAAAGATATTCTTTTTTTTTTTTTTTTGAGACAGGGTCTCCTGTAGCCCTAGCTAGCCTAGAACTCACTAGATAGACCAGGCTGGCCTCAAACTCACAGAGCTCCACCTGCCTCTGCCTCCCAAATCCTGGGATTAAAAGCATGAGCCACCACACCTAGCTGCTTGGTGGAATCTTTATCTTCAAGACACCAAGGAAAGAGTGACCTTTCCCCATCTCCCCATGGGAAGTACACAGACAAGACCTACAGGAGGAGAAACTTTGTTGGCATCTGGGAAGATGAGTAGCCAGCACAGGCCTCACACAGGACTATAGAGTTGGCTCAGTGGTTAAGGGAGCTTACTGCTCTCACAGAGGACCTGGGTTCAATTCCCAGCACCTATATCAGGCAGTTTACACTGCTTATAACTCCAGTTTCAGGGGATCCTACACCCTCTGGCCTTTACAGGCACAGCATCCACACAATGCACATAAACTTATGCAGACACCTACATACACACACACACACACACACACACACACACACACAATTCATAAAATAAAAATGTTTGGTCTTCTTGAGACTGTCTCCCTGTAGCCCCAGCTGGCCTGGAACCCACTAGACCAGGCTGGCCTCAATCACAGAGATCCACCTGCCTCTGCCTCCCATGTGCTGGGATTAAAGGCATGTGCCACCATGCCTGGCCCCATAAAATAAAAATTTAAAAATTTAAAAACCCCACCAAAACTCTATGGCTGGGTGTGGTGGCACACACCTTTATTCCCAGCACTCTGGAGATAGAGACAGGCAGATCTCTGTGAATTCAAGGCCAGCCTGGTCCACATAGCAAGTTCTAGGACAACCACACCCTCTCTTAAAACAAAAATAAAAATAAAATAGCCAGGCATGATGGTGCATGCCTTTAATCCCAGCACTTAGGAGGCAGAGGCAGGCAGGTCTCTGTGATATCAAGCTCACCTCTTGTTTTCCTCCAAGCACAAAGTGGTGTGGCTAGGACTTCCTCTTATACTAATCAACTTCTTTCCACTTTACTAAATGGTTTCCCACCAAAACAAATAATTGCATATGGGAACTGGATCTCAGTACCAGTGTAGAAGCCAAACTTCCAGGTGTGTCAGAGATACCACAATCCAGCAGTACCTGGACAGTCTGACCCTTTGAGTCAGTGAATCAAAGAGTTAGTCCATTTGTTCTCAGAACTTGTACCTTTTGATTTCTGTCAGAGCTGTTCTTCTGAACAAAGGACTTTCTCTGTGTTTGTATTTCTTTTTAATTCTTTTTTATTATTTTTATTTTATGTGTATGAATGTATCATGTATGTAGGTTCACTCATGCCGTGCATTGCCCATGGTGGTCAGAAGAGGGAACTGGATTAATTGGAACTGGAGTTACCAACAGTTGTTAGCTGCCATGTGGGTGTCGGGAATTGAACCCAGGTCCTCTGCAAAAGCAGCCAGTGCTCTTAATTCCTGAGGCATAACTCTAGCCCCACTATTTATTTAGAGACAGGGTCTCACTATGTAACTGTGGCTGACCTGGAGCCTGGTACTGCACTGGGATTAATGGTGTGTGCCACCATTCGTGTCCCTCTATATTTATTTAAATAGTGCACCCAACATGAATGAGGAACTTTGTCTTATCAGGGAAGAATTTTCTCTTTCTGACCCTCTACTGACCCAGAACAGCACACACAACCACAAACAGATGTTATCAATCTTATCCTACCTGTTGTTTATAACATAAATTGAGGATAATTCCTCAATTCCAATTGGGGAATTGCCTTCATTGGACTGGCCTGTGGCCACCCACAGAGGGCCCAGCCCACTGTGGGTGGTGCCACCCCTGGGCAGGTGGGCCTGTGTTGTAGAAGAAAGCAGGTTGAACATGGGCCAGGGAAGCAAGCCAGTAAGCAGCACTCCTCCATGGCCTGTGCTCCAGCTCCTGCCTCCAGGTTCTTGTCCTGAGTTCCCTACCTTGGGCTCCCTGATGAACTATGACCTGGGAGATGTAAGCTCAATAAACCCTTTCCTCCCCAAGTTGGTATTTTGTTACAGCAAAGGAGAGAAAAATTAGGACAGGAACATATCTAAGATTAAAGCTATTTGATTAGGTTAGCTTATAAAAGTTGATTAAAAGAAGAGCCCAAGCCAGGTGTGGTGGCACACACCTTTAATCCCAGCACTTGGGAGGCTGAGGTAGGTGGATCTTTATGAGTTAGAGGCCAGCCTGGTCTACATAGTGAGTTCCAGGATAGTTGGGGCTACAGGGAGACCCTGTCTCAAAAAGATCAAAACAAACAAACAAACAAACAAACAACAACCACATAAGATTATTTACATTGTTTTCCTGAAGGCTGGCTAAATTTAAATAAGCTGATTCCACAGAAGAAAGGCACAGAAAGAATAGATCTGTGCTAAAAGATCTCAAAACATAAAATTAACTTTGGTTACAAGGTTAGGTAAAATTCCCATTTGGAACAGAAGGCATTCCCAGAAGTCATTCCCACATACAGAATGCTGACCAGTTAACCAACAGAGTGCGAGTGCTGTGCTCCTCCACAATATTACATGTTAATCACATGTATTCAGAAGACCCTGCATTAAAATACTTAGAATACTCATAGCACCTATGTTTACTTAACAACAGAAACTTACTTTTTAATATTTTGTTATTTTATGTATATAAGTGTATTGCCTGCATGGATGTAAGTGTACCCATATCATGCAGTGCCTTCAGAGGTCAGAAGAGGGTTGTTAGTTGTCATGTGGGTGCTGAGAACTGAATCGAGGTCTTCTGCAGAAGCAGCCAGTGCTCTTAACCATGGAGCCATAGCTCCAGACCCAGGAAATTTCTTTTTTTAAGATTTAATTTATCATTTATTTCTGTGTGTGTTTCTGTCTGTGTATATGTATGTACATGTGGGTACCAGAAAAGTTCAGAAAAGGGCATCAGATCCCCTGGAACTGAAGTTATAGTAAGGTGTGGGTCACCTGACAATTGTGCTGGGAACTGAACTCCAGTCCTTGGTAAGAGGACTCTTATCCATGGAGACGTCTCTCCAACCCAAGAAACATCTATAAACTATAATTCACTTAGACCTTAATTTAGGAAATTAAGGTCTTACCCATGACTTCTTCAGGGATGGTAATTTTCAACCGAGGAATATTAACAGTTACTAGCATGAGACTATGGCCTAATAATGAATGGCAAACCATGTACAGTTCTGTTCAACTGACCCTTCATTGAATAATATTTCTTGCTGGCACATGAACTTCACTACAGGCTGGCAATAATCAGTTCTCTGGCCAACTACTTTGAGGAGCACTAACCACAGACTTAAGCAGAAATAAGATAAGTACCTCAGTTTGTAGACTGAAGAGTGCAGCCCATGCTTCAAGATTCCTCCAGCTATCTTCATAGACTGCATCATCTTCATCATCGAAGGAGAATAGGTCACTTGTTACACAGCATTCCCGGATCGGTTTAAAGAACTTAAATGCCAAATTTTTTGCTGCTCCATCACTTTCTATTTCAAAAGAATATTCGCCAACTTCTTCCGAGTCTTCTTGAATGGAGTCTGATTGCGAAGCTCCGTTATAACTAGGTGATGATGGTAAATAAGCCTGTTCTGGTGAACCTGTTGGGGTTTCTGCAGTGCCATAATTGGGACTTGGGGGAATGTGAGAGGCGACAAAGTTTTCAGCAAGAAGAGGAGACATAGGAGGATAAAGAGGTGACCTACGAGGGGATAGAAAAGCTGACCCACAGCGAGATGGCAGAGCTAACCTAGAACGAGAAAAAAGAGATGAACTCGAAGGCGCATCCGGCCCAGAGATTTTAGCAGAGAAGTAGCAGCTATCATGGACTAGAGAAACTTCGCGTTGACCAAACTCCTCTGAGCTAAAGCCTCTACCTGAAAAAGTACTACCCATGAGCCCCAAGGACAAGTCCAAGGGAGGCCGTTTGGGAGGAGACTCTGAGTCGTAGAAGATGTTAATCCCACTGCCAGGCTCAGGGCTTTGGTCAGATTTAGGTGGGCTGACTTCTCTAAGAGGAAGAGGAGGAGGAGGAGAAGGAGGAGGACGGGTGCTGCCGGAGAGAGGAGGAGGAGGAGGAAGACATGTACTACCAGGAAGAGGAGGAGGAAGATCGGCACCACCGGGAAGAGGAGGAGGAGGAAGACCGGCACCACGGGGGAGACGAGGAGGAGGAAGACCGGCACCACCGAAAAGAGGAGGAGGAGGAGGACCGGCACCACCGAGAAGAGGAGGAGGAGGAGGAAGACCGGCATCACGGGGGAGAGGAAGAGTAGGAAGAAGACTGGCACCACCGAGAAGAGGAGGAGGAAGACCCGCACTGGAGAGAGGACAGAGAGGAGTTCGGGGGATGCCACCATCAGAAGAGAGGAAAGCAGAGGGGGTACTGTAGGGAGCAGGGAAAGGAAATGGAGTTGTGACTTCAGTGGCAAAAGAAAATGTGGAGACAGGCATATTTTGTGGCATGGATGCCTTGAACAGTCTTTGAAATCCCGCTTCTTTGGATGAATCCATCAGGCTCATACTCAACGGCTTTTTCACATCTTCACATAACGTAGGGGCTCTAAGAGCTTGGGCTGTTGCTTGTGGTGATGCTACTGCAACAAGGTCAGAATCTCCAGCAACTTCCAGCTTTAATCTTAGCGCTTGGGAGGCAGAAGCAGATAACCTTTTAAACTTTTTTCTAGCCAAATGTAGCTGAGGCCGGTCCACATTCTCTTCAAAGGGGACTGAAAAAGACTGCCCAGAAGGCAATATTGTATATATAAAGAAACAAGATAGACCAAAACAGGCAAGGAAACATTCTTCCCAGTAGTTGGTGTTTAGGACATTATCTAATTGCTCATGCTAAAATCAGGATCACCAACCAGGGCAAGGATATAGGACTGGCTTGCAATCCCATCTCCTTGTGAGCCTCAGGCAGAAGGATCCAAAGTTCAAGGCCAGCCAGGGCAACTTAGTGAGACACTGCTTCAAAATAACAAGTAAAAAGAAGGCTGGGGATAAAAATCAGTATTGGGTGTTTCCCTAGCAGCATATGAGACTTTGAGTTCATTTACCAGCACCACAAAAAGAAAAAAAAAGCTAAAAATGTGTGGCCCAATGAGATGGCTCAGCCACTAACGATGCTTGCTGCCAAGCCTGAGGACCTGAGTTTGATCCCTGGGACACCTAAAAAACCTCAGACTCTACACATGCTCCCTTGCCAAAAAAGAAAAAAAAAAAAGTGTAGTAAAGAATTATAATGCTTATCTGTTAATCTACTTATCTTGAATTGAATGCTCTACCACTGCTCTAAACCTCCAAGCCTAAATTTATTTACTTTTTTTTTGGGGGGGGTCTTTTTAGACAGGGTCTCCCTGTAGCCCCAGCTGTCCTGGAACTCACTATGTAGACCAGGCTGGCCTTGAACTCACAGAGATCCTCCTGCCTCTGTTTCCCAAGTGCTGGGATTAAAGGCGTGCACCACCACGCCCAGTCATATTTACTTTTTAATAAATTATTTATTTTTATTTTTATGTGTATGAATGTTTTGCTTGCATGTATATAACTGTTATCAGTGTCGGGCAAAGCCTGAGGGAGCCAGAAGAGGGCACTGGATTCCCTGGAACTAGAGTTACAGATGAGTGTTAGTTGCCATGTGAGTGCTGGAAACTGAACCTGGATCCTCTGGAAGAGCAGCTGGTGCTCTTAATTGCTAAGCCATCTCTTCAGCCCCTTACTTTTTTTCTTTTGGTTTTTTTGAGACATGATCTCTCTGTAGCCCCAGCTGGCCTGGAACTCGCTATGTAGACCAGGCTGGCCTTGAACTCTCAAAGATCCACCTGCCTCTGCCTCCCAGTACTGGGATTAAAAGTGTGCACCACCATGCCCAGCCAATAAAAGATATTCTAAAATAACACACATACACACACACACACACACACACACACACACACACACACACAAAGCAAGAAACTCAAAGACTGAAAAAATGTGACAGATGGGCTGGAGAGATGGCTCCCTGGCTAAAATCACTTGCTGTTCTTTCAGAGGATTCAAGTAAGGTTTCCAGAACCCCATTGTTGAGTGGCTCAGGATCACCTATAACTCCAGCTCCAGAGGATCCTGGAACCCTCTTCTGGCCACCATGGGCACGCCCCCAGACACACATACAGACACATATAAATAAAATTAATTAATTAAAGGAAGGGACAAGGGCTAGAGAGATGGTTCAGAAATTAAGAGCACCAGCTGCTCTTACAAAGGACCAGGGTTCATTTCCCACCACCTACATGGCAGCTGTAACTCCAGTTCCAGGATATCTGACACCCTTTTCTGGTCTCCATGGACATTGCACAAATAGGTACACTTAAATACACACAGGCAAAACACTCATATACATAAAATGAAAATTAAAAGGTTTTTTTTTTAAAAAAATATGACATACAGCTGGGCATAGTGCTGCACACCTTTAATTCTAGCACTTATGAGGCAGAGGCAGGTAGAGCTCTGTGAGTTCGAGGCCAGCCTGGTCTACATAGTTTCAGGTCAGCTGGGGCTACAGGGAGACCGTGTCAAAAATACCAAAAAAAAAAAAAAAAAGTGTCAAGTAATTTGTGCCAGCTGCTTGGGAGGCTAAGTTTCAAGGATCACAAACAACAACAACAACAAAAACACTGCATGGGGGAGCTGCAGAGATGGCTCAGTGATTAAGAGCACTGACTGCTCTTGCAGAGGACCCTAGTTCGAATCCCAGCACCCACCTGGCAGCTAACAACCATCCATAACTCCAGTTCCAGGGGATCCGACCCCTCTTCTGACTTCTGAGGGCACTGCACAACATGGATGCATTTACATACATGCAGGTAATACACTCATACACAAAAAGTAGTAATAAATAAACTACTTCTAAAAAAATCATCATGACCAAAAGATAATAAACAAAATGAAAATATAGATGACAGCCAATGGTACATGCCTGGGATCCCAGCACTCATGGGGTTGAGGCAGGAGGATGAGGATTTTGAGGTCAGCCTAGGCTACATTCAAAATCTTATCTTTTTTTTTTTTTTGGTCTTTTTGAGACAGGGTCTCCCTGTGACCCCAGCTGACCTGGAACTTGCTATATAGACCAGGCTGGCCTTGAGCTCATAGAGATCCACCTGCCTCTGCCTCCCGAGTGCTGGGACTAAAGGCATGTGCTACCACACCAGGTGCAAAAGCCTATCTTAAAACTATGAAAGTGGAGGAGCTGGAGAGATGGCTCAGTGGCTAAGAGCACTGGCTGATCTTGCAGAGGACCCAGGTTCAATTCCCAGCACCCACATGGCAGCTAACAACCACCCTAACTCCAGTTCCGGGGGATCTGATGCCCTCTTCTAACCTCCATGGGCATTGCATGACACAGGTGCACTTACACACACGTAGAGAGTACACTCATACACATAAAATAAAAATAATATTTTTTCAAATATATAAAATGGGGGGGGGAGCTGGAGAGATGGTTCAACATTTAAAAGCAGTTGCTGCTCTTGCAGAAGACCTGGGTTCAGTTCTCAGCACCCACACCATGGCTCACAACTACATATAACTCCAGTTCCAGAGGATTTAATACCCTCTTCTGGCCTCCTTGGGCACTGCATGCATGTGGTGCATTGTATACGCACAGGTGAAACGAACACATAAAATAAAAATAAATAAATGTAAAAAAGAAAACTGACCTCTTAGGGGAAAAATATATATAGCAAGATGGCTCAGTGGGTAAAAATGCTTACCATAAAGGCTGATAACTTGAGAGGAATCCCTAGAACCCTCATGGTGGAAAGAGGGAACTGACTTCTGAAAGTTGTTCTCTGACTTCTACATGTGCATCCTGGCACATGCTTGCACACATACACACACCCTCACAAAGTTAATAAATGTAAAAAGAGAAATCTTTTAACATGTTAAATATATTTATAACATAGCATATTGTCTATATATGTGGGCTGTCCAGATGTCTCAGTGGGGAAAGGCCTTGCTGCCATGTCTGCTGCCCTTAGTTCGATCCCTGGGAACCACATGATGGAAGGAGAGAACTGACTCCCCCAAGTTTTTCTCTGACGTCCACATGTATACCCTCGCACATGTACACATGTGCATGCACACACACAGAGAAAATAAAAATGTAAAAAGATTAAAATAAATAAATAATTACAAATGGCAAACTGGAAAGCAAATTATCTGCTCTCCTTGAAAATTCCTCATTTGTAACTCTGTTTGGTGGTGTACCTGTAACAGTCTGTTGCCATCAGTGGTGTCATCTTGCTTTAGTCTTGAACACTCAATCTCTGTCTATGGCACAAAATTTAAAATATACAAAAAAGGTTATAACAAAGCAAGTGTCTCTCAACACCCCTCCACCCCACTTAACCTAGTTGCACCACCTAGTTGCCCTCCCCAGAGATGAATATAGTTCATAGTTTCTAGAAGCAGAACAGCACTTGCCTAGCAGGTACTAGGTTCAAACCTAAGCACCACAAAAAGGAAATATATAAAATAAATAACAGCAAAAATAAGGAAGTGAGCTAATAAGCAAATACATTTATATCCTCTTCTTTTTTAAATTTATTATTTTTATTTTATTTGTATGCTGTATTGCCTGCGTGTATATAAGTACACCTATGTCATGCAATGCCTAGCGACCATGTGAGTTTTGGGAATCAAACCCCACTGAGCCATCTCTCCAGCCCCACATCCTCTTCATCTACATAGAAGAGTTTGAGGTCAGCCTGGGATAAATGAGACCCTGTCTCAAAACAAATTGTTTTTCCTAATGACTTGAGCTTCCTTTTTGATAGTCTGTCCATGAATGAAGAATAATCACTGTCATTCTCTTTTGTATTTTACAGTTAAATTTTTATATGGTAAGCGTCTCAGTACTACCATAGCACTTTCATAACTGTATGAATATTTTCCATCCTCAGAAAGGCAACACTTTCTACATACATGAGTAAGAGGGATGTTACTTTACCAAATTTCCCTCACCATCATGACAACATGAAAGTACAGCATCAATGTGCAGCCCTGTGATAATTCAGTTTATGTGCAGTGTATTTTATGGACAACAGTGTTACCACAGATTCAAGTAGGGCAAAACCTCTCCCTAGTGTCTAGTGACAGTGTAGCCATCTCCATGTCCTTGTTCCAAGGATTAATGAGTTTGTGGGGATGCTGGTGTCAACAAACCTACTGCATTATCAGCTATATAAAATAACACACACAGCTATGCAGAGTATCTAATCCTTAATAAATGACTATATTACAATTTTATATATTTACTATGCTATCATTATTTTTATTTTTGGTCTTTTTGAGACAGGGTCTCCCTGTAGTCCCAGCTGTCCCAGAACTCACTATGTGGACCAGGCTGGACTTAAACTCACAGAGATCCGCCTGCCTCTGCCTCCCTAGTGCTGGGATTAAAGGCGTGTGCATGACGGGTGGTGCATGTATAGAGGTCCAAAGACAACGAGTTTGTGGAAGTCAGTTATCTTCTTCACCATGTGGGTCCTGGGGATCTAGCTCAGGTCATCCGACTTGGAGGCAAGTGCTGCCTTAACCCACCAAGCCATCTCCCTAGCTCCTGTGCTATTAACTAACCATGCTGGAGATGGAACTCAGGGCCTTATGCACGATAGGTGAAAGTTACACTTCCTGGTTTCTTTTTTATTTCCTTTTCTATTTTCTTGAGATAGGGTCTCATGTATCCCAATCTGGCCTAGAATTTGCTATGTAGTTGAAGACAACCTTGAACTCTGTGTACCATCACACCCAGCTCCCAAGTTCTATAAAAACCGTTGTTTGTAGAGTGCATTCCTTCTATTTATTTAATTTAAAAATGTTTACTGTAGAGTTTAGTGGCACATACCTTTAATCCCAGCACTTGGAAGGCAGAGACAGGTAGATCTGTGTGAGTTTGAGGCCAACCTGGTCTATATAGTGAGTTCCAGGGCAGCCAGGGCTACAAGGAGACCCTGTCTCAAAAAAAAAAAAAAGTTTGCTGTCAAACAGTATGTCTTGCTCCATGGGAGCAGCCACATCCAGTGACGGCCCTGGACCACTGGATCTGTGTGAATTCACTCTAGGATGTTCAGATAGCCATGATTTCTCTAATGACATACTTCTCAGAACATTTCCCCATCGTATAGCAATGGCTACATCTGGAAGTTACACTTACCTGTGCTGTGCTGGCCTCTGGTCGCACCTCCTGCCAACTCATGTATGGAAGAAAGTCTACATCTTCTTTGGCAATAAGTTCCGAAATATTTGGAATATTAATAAAAGGTCTCTCATTACTGTCCTATATTAAATCACAATGGGTTAAAAAATTAAAACACAAATTAAATAATTTAAAACACAATCAAATTAAATAATTCACACATCTAGAGCCTTGTGGATGCTGGGTTTGGAATATTTGGGTGTATGGTTAGATCATGTGTCCCTGGCCCCCACAATGTAAGAGAAAGAAGGTGCAGGCAGGCAGGCTCGGGGTGGGACTCCACTTCTAGGGAGTGTTCACTGACTGCTAGCTGCTGCTCTAAGGGTTTCAGACACATTTTTCTCATAGATTTATGAAGGAAAAGGGGCTTCTGATTGGTAAGGGAGACTCAAGTATTTTTTTTCTACTTTCTGAGTGTCTTAGATTAATAAATGATGAGCTAGGAATGGTCATGCATGCCTACAACCCCAGCACTCAGGAGGCAGAGACAGGAGGACTCCTGAGTCTGAGGACAGCCTGGGCTACATAGAAAGACCCTATTTCAAAAAATAAACAAATAAGCAAAGAGAAAAAAACAGTAGTATGTTTTTTCTGTGTTATGTATGTGTTTTGGGGATTAAACACAGTGTGGTATCACATCTCAGCCCCAAATAGATGTCTTAAAAATGCACCTGTAACTAACCAAAATGCTAATACACACAACTCATTTAGAGAGACCATCATATGTGGTAACATGGATGCCCCTCCTAGACAGGAGACCCTGGCTCCCGGCCTCTATCCTTGCCCTTCATAGCCCTGAGGTGGGTACTGTTGTTGAACAGTGATCTCCTGGGTTTTTATTTCTTGAGATACAGTCTCCCTGTGTAACCATGGCTGGCCTAGAACTCATTATGTAGACCAAGCTGGCTTTGAATTGTGGCAATCCTCTTGCCTCCACCCCCAAATGATGGGCTTATAGTCATGCACCATCACTCCTGACTGTTGTTGTTTTTGTTTTTTTTTTTTTTACAAAGGATTTCCCTGGGTAGCCCAGGCTGAACTCATACTCAACATCTTCCTGCTTCTGCCTCCCAAGTGCCAGGATTAAAGGCATGTGCCACCATGCCCAGCTAAATAGTGACTTTGTTTTTCTCTTTTTCTTATTTTGAAACAGGGTCTCCCAGGCTGGCCATGAATTTCTGATTTTCCTGCCCCACCTCCCAAGTACTGGATTACAAGTGTGTACCATCAGTTCTGGCAATAGTCACATTCCTTTTTATTATTGTTATTATTTTTATTTATGTGTACATGTGCTTATCTGTGTGGGTGTAGACCATATGTGTATGGGTGCCTGTAGAGGCCAAGAGAGGGCATCAGATCATGACGGAACTTAACAGTTAGTTGTGACCCACCTGAACTTTGGTCCTCTGTAAGAGCAGCAAGTGCTCTTAATCACTGAGCCACCTCTCTAGCCCCACAGTGACTTTCTTAATATGTAAATATAAATAAAAGTTTAATCTTAAATTAATAATAATACATACCCTTTTCTCAATAGCCACAAAGCTTGTAAATTGTGTTATAAGAGAATTTTCTTTACTCAGTTTAATAATCATAGATTTCATGATGTTTTTCTTCATCTAGGATAGAATAAAACAGATGAAACCACATGTTACTTTATTTTTGCTGAGGTATATACAACCCATTAAAAGGGTATAAAATAATCATAAATATTTTTCTGTGACAAATAAGTAATTTAATTCATTCATTCCTTCATTCACTTCTTTCAAGACAGGGTCTCACGTATCCCAGGCTGGCCTGGAACCCAGCCCACCTAAGTAGCTGGTAATGACCTTGAACTCCTGATCTTCCTGTCTCCACTTCCCAAGTGCTGGGATTAGAGGCTTGTATCACCATGGTTTATGTGGGACTAGGTACTGAACCCAGAGCCTTGCACATGCTAGGTAAGCACTCTACCAACTAAGCTTTATCTCTAGCCTCAAGAAAATCATCTTACAATTACCACTTCAAATTAGGCATTAAGTCAGAGCTCCTAAGGGTTTTAGATAGGTGACTCAACATTCCCTGTGACATGGGATCGACTGGTTTAGCTAAATCATAGAATTCACATTTATGCCATTCTCTGCCACTTACAAAGAACTCCCACATGCCATAAGCATCCTCATTTTCTCACAGTCTATGCTCCTACTGTAAAGTTGAAGAATTGAAGAGGCACTTGTTTAGGATTATTCAAGGCACAACTAGTCAGCTTTCCTCGGAGATAAAAAGGGCCTTAAGTCAAAGGAAACAACACAAAGGCAGCTAATTCAAGTGGTCACAAGTAGGTTAAGCATAGGGTCATGTGCCACCTGCTGTGACTGCCAGCAGACCCTGCATGGTACACTGGCATCTTCTTTTGGGATGCCATTGAACACCAATGCTGGAACTTCATTTAAGATCACAGCCCAACTGTCATAGTGTCTGGCTGAGAGGGACCCCCTACTAGAGCCCCCATCTGTACAGCAAGCAAGGTAACATTTAAGCTCAGTTTCACTGGCATGTGGTACAGAATCTATTTGAAACTGCTGTGGTGTAATCCCAGTACTGGGAAGGCTAAGGCAGGAGAATCAGCATGAGTTTGAGGCAGGGAGATGGGGAGATGGCTCTACCTCATGTCCTTAGGCACCTTACTCACCATCCTGCTCCTAGGCTGCAGAGTTAAAATACAGATTTGAGATGACTATTCTAGGTACTCCATGAGGATCCTCTGAGCTCTCCTCCAGATTATTTCTCATGGGGTATGGTGATAAATGCCTCTCACACCACATCTTTATCCACTATCTTCACTTTATGTTCCTATGGGTGCATCAATTTAAGAATGATATAGAACAATGCATAATGGTTCTTCCTTAGAAAAGAACAAACCTCGTGGTTGGTTTCATTGTTATGGAGAATGCCCTCTTCGTAATCTCTGATCATTGCTCGAGCTGCCAGCTTGTGAATCATCTGTGTTTAAGCAGCAAGGGAAAAAAGATTAAAATAGTGTTCTCTTTCTCTCTGTGTCTCTGTCTGTCTGTCTGTCTGTCTGTCTGTCTCTACCTCTCTATCTCTATCTCTCCCCCCCCACCATGTGATGTAAGTGCATGTGTATGTGTATTTTTGTGTGTGTGTGTGTGCATGTGCGTGTGCGTGTGCGTGTGCGTGTGTGTGTGTGTGTGCGCACGCGCGCAGGCATGCCAAAGTGTGGGTGTATGGAGGTCTAAGAACTGGTTCTTACCTTTCCACCTTGCTTGAGACAGGTCTCTGACAATGTGTTATCCAGGCTGGCTGGTCCTCCAGTGTGTGGAGATTCTCCCATCTCCACCACCTCCCAGTTCCCTGTAGGGGTATGCTGGGATTACAGACACTGCTATGTCTGGCCTTTTTTTTTAACATGGGTTCTGAGGATCCAAACTCAGATTGTCAGATTTGCATGGCAAGTGCTTTTACCCACTACACTATCTCCCCAATTCCCCACCTCAAACTCAGTGATGATTCTTGTGCCTCAGCCTTCCCAGTGCTGGAATTTCAGGCATGAGCCACCACAGTAGGCTCAAATAGATTCTATGCCATCATGCCAATGGAACTGAACTTAATGCCGATGTCTGTTTTCAATAATTCCAACTCTTGTAATTTTGTTATTAATAATGCTACATTAGGGCTGGCGAGATGGCTTAGCAGATAAAGGTGCCTGCTACTGCCAAGCCTGACAATCTGAGTCCAATCCCTAGAAGCCACATAGTGGAATGAGAGAACCAACTCCTTTTGTTTCTTCTAATACCCACATGTGCTCAGTGTCATGTATGCCCACACACATATACGTGGACATAAAATAAAAGGAACAAAAAATGTGCTGTTAGCTAGGCATGGGGGTGCATGCCTATAATCCCAGCACTTGGGAAATAGAGGTAGGAGGATCAGGAATTCAAAGTCAATCTCAGCTAAATATAAAGTTCTAGGTTAGCCTGGGCTACATGAGATCCTTTCAAAAACAGAATAAATAGGCAAATAAATAAATAAACAACCCAAGAGCACAGAGAGAGTAAGAGAAAGCACATGGTGTGAGCTTTTCCACCAAAAGAGCTGCATTTAAGTGCTGTAACAGTAGCAGCACATGTAAGTTTGGTGGCTTTTGAGGTTACATTATTCAAAGGATTGAAAGGATTAAGTAACTTAATTTTGATTTTTTTTTTTAGACAGAATCTCTCTATGTAGCCCTGACAGGCTTAGAACATGTTATGTAGGCCAGGATGGCCCTCAATTCACAGACATCTGCCTGATTCTGTCTTCTAGGTACTGGAATCAAAGGCCTGCACTACTACACCCAGCTGATATATTGAGATAGAGAGTTTCATGTAGCCTAGGCTAGCTTTGAACTCACTAAGTAGTCAAGAATAGCTCAGTGCTAGGTGGTACTATTTTATAAAAATATTTATTTATTTATTTATTCATTTATTTATTTCTCTGTGTGTATGTGTATACCCTCCCCTGCTAAGTTATCTCTCCAGCCCTGGGTAGTATTCTTACCTAAGGAACTTTTCTTTTTAAAAAATATTTTATTTTATGTGTATGAGTATGTTGCCTACATGTATGCAAGTGCACCCATGTCCTGCAATGCCCAAAGAGAACAGGAGAGGATGTCAGATCCCCTGGAACTGGAGTAACAGACGGTTGTTAGGCACCATGCGGGTACTGAGATTGGAATGCAGATCCTCTGGAAGAAAAACCAGTACTCTTAACTGCTGAGCCATCTCTCCAGCCCTGGAACTATTCTTTAGTAAATCAGATCTCAGGAGGTTTATAGTGTACTATACAGTTTAACAGGCAGATAAGATAAAAACATAGGGCCAGTGAGATGGTTCAACAGGTAAAGAAAGGCTTGCTACCAAGCCTAAGGACCTGAGTTCAATCCCCAGGACCTAGATGGTAAAAGGGGAGAACTGGAAAGCTGTCCTCTGACCTCCACACACATGTTGTAGCATGCATTCTCTCTCTCTCTCTCTCTCTCTCTCTCTCTCTCTCTCTCTCTCTCTCTCTCTCTCTCTCTCTCTCTCTCTCTCTCTCTCTCTCTCTCTCTCTCTCTCTCTCTCTCTCTCTCTCTCTCTCACACACACACACACACACACACAAATCAATCAATCAATCAATCAATCAATCAACCAATCAATGTAATTTAAAAAATTTAAAGATAAAATCAAAGCCAGCCTGGTCTATGTACGTAGCTCTAGGCCATCCAAGGCTACACAGTGAGACCCTGTCTCAAAAAAAAAAAAAGATTAAAAACATAGTTTCACCACAGAAGAGGCAGAAAGACTGTAAAAACAGAGGTAATGGAGACTTGCTGTATAACAGTTTTTTTTGGACTTGATAGGCTGTGGCACAGTAGCTGTAATTACATGCACAAGACCTGCACAAGCTACTAAAAATTCCAGTATGGATACAGGAGGAGCTCATGAAGCCCCACCCCATGCTGAAGAGCTATTGGCAACGGATAGCTGCTGAGGGAGAGACAATTAGTTTTCTTCAGGGATGCTGCTCCTAATAGTTTTCCCATGCTCCAGTGGGTGGTTCTACACCCAAGCACATACTGGTAGCACTAAATGGATGCCATGGGTTTAAAAAAGAGTTCATGAAGTTGGAAGGGAAAGGTCATGGTGGTGACAGGAGCTAGAGGGGAGGTAGACTTGATGAAAACTCATTATATTCATGTGTGAAAAACTCAAATTTTAAAAAACATAGCCTCCCCCCTCAAAAAAAATCAAAAGAAACTAGGCATAGTGGCACACACCTGTTATCTCAGCACTCAGGGGGTGGAGGCAGGAGGTCACCTTTAGCTACATAGTAAGGATAGCTGAGCCTCATGAGGAAAAAAATGTGGGTCACAAAGGAAGTCAAGACATACGTTTTGAGTGGTTTGTAATCTTTGTGCAATTCTTGGGATTTTGTTGTTGTGGCTGATGGAGGTGGCAGTGGTGGTGGTGGTGGTTTGTATGTGTGTACATGCACAGAGAGAGGCCAGAGTGTGTTAACTCTCTTCCTTTATCACTCTGTACCTTGTTCCTTTGAGGCATGGTCTCTCACTGAACCTGCAGCTCATGTCTTTCTGGCTAGGTTGGCAGGAAGCAAGCCCCAGAGACCCTCTGGTCTCCATTTCCCTCAGTTCTGGGGTTACAGGCCTGTGTAGGACCATGCCTGGCTTGTTAATGTTGATAGTGGGATCTCAATTCTAGTCTTCCTGCCCAGCAACTGCTCTTAACCCCTGAGCAATCTCTCCAGCTTTAAGTTTTTGTTTGTTTGTTTATTTGTTTGAGACAGCTTCTTGCTCTGTAACCCTAGTTGGCCTGGAAGTTGGGATGTAGACCAGGCTCGCCTTGAACTTGTTTAATCCTCCTGCTTCTTCCTGCCAAGTGCTGAGATTACAGGAGTGCACCACCACACCTAACTTATTTTGAGTCTCAGTCAGCAAAGATAAGGAGTCCCTTTAATTTTCCCTCTTCCTATCCTGCCTCACTTTGTTGCTTTATTCTTAGTCAATTCTATTCTTCTGTCTCTCTGTCCCTACTACAAGGAAAATACCTTTGAAACAACTAATCTACATTTTATTCTTTTGGGGGGGTGATACTGGAGATTCAACCTAGTGCCTCCCATGTGCTATTCAAGTACACTACCATTGAGCAACAGTGCCAACCCTTTGATTTTTAGTCATTATTCCTATTTCCTTTAGCCCTTCTCTGATCTCTTCTGTTCCCCTCACTGGAACACACTCTATTTTATGTAATGAAGTGCTGCCTGACTCTAGGATTCCAAAATAATGCCAATTAAGATCATTATTATACTTTTCTTGTAGAGCAGGGTATTGAACCCAGGGCTTTGCATGTACTAGGTAAGCACTCTTTCACTGGGCTCCAGCCCCAACCAAGATCTTTAAACTAACTTTGTTATAATTTTGTTTCCTAGTAACTGTATAGATAAGTAACTCACTGACAAATAGTAAGAAATACTGATTCAATGCTAAAATGTAAGTTGTATTTGATTCATTGATTTTTTTTTTTTTTTTGAGACAGGGCCTCATGTAGGCCAGGCTGGCTTAAACACAATATGTATCAGCCAGAAACTGGCCTTAAACTCTCCATCCTCCTGCTTCCACATTCCAAGTGCAGGTTTACAGGTGTGTATCATCAAGCCAGCTACATTTTATGTTAAAAGAAAAATTCAGATATTTCTTGAAAATATGGTTACACAAATATTCCCACAAATCACAAAGTTACAGATAGTAAAAATACATTTAGAATTTTCATGGTGGATTCAATACTAATACAAAGGCAAATTATTTTGGTAATAAGTTGTAATACTGTGATGTAATATAATAAGAAATATATATATATAATCTTGGTCTTGTCCTTAATTTGTGATACCTAGCTCCTAAAATCTTTGTGATAAGCTGGACATGGTGATGTATGTCTGTAATCCCAGCACTTGGCAAGCTAAGCAAAGGGGACTGCTCTGAGTTCAAGTTCAGCCTAGGGTACACGTACGACACCCAGTCTCAAAACAAAATGATGACAACAAAAAAACCCAACTAAGCCAGGCATGGTGGCACACACCTTTAATCTCAGTACTTGAGAGGCAGAGCCAGGCGGATCTCTGTGAGATCGAGGCCAGCCTGGTCTACATAGTGAGTTCCAGGCCAGCTGTGGCTACAGGGATGCCCTGGCTCAAAAAAGAGGACAAACAAACAAAACAAAATACCAACTAAACCAGCAACCTCTGTGATGAAATCTTTAGCACCAAGACCATAGAAGAACCATCACTGTTGTTACAGCTGGGTTTGTTCTTGGTTCCTGAAACTGAGCCAGAGCAATACAGGTGAAAGAAGTTCACACTACCAGCTACTATCAGCACTACCAGTATGATATAGCCCCAGTTGTGAGTTTGTTTGAGGCATTACTATGCCAACATTACCATTACCTGAATAAAGAAGCCTGACTCTTAAGTTCAGTTTTTAAGGGGGATAGAGTGATGGTTAAGAACATTGGCTGCAGGCTGGGCATGGCGGTGCATGCCTTTAGTCCCAGCACTTGGGAGGCAGAGGCAGGAGGATCTCTGTGAGCTCAAGGCCAGCCTGGTCTACATAGTGAGTTCCAGGCTAGCTGGGGCTACAAGGAGACTTTGTCTCAAAAAGCTCCCCCCCCAAATAAATAAATAAATAAATAAATAAATAATAAATAAATAGTAAATAAAAGAACCAGGGTTCAATTCCCAGCACCCACATAACAGCTAATAACCATCTGTAACTCCAGTTCCAGGAGCTCCAACTCCCTCTTCTGTCCTCCATAGGTACTATACAACATGGGTGCATTTACATACACACAGACAAAACACTCATACACATAAAATAAAAACAATAAATAATAGATACATTTTAAAAATCCAGTTTTTAAGAGTGGGCCTGGAGGGCACTTGTTCCCCCAGCTATCTCTTGGAACTGTCTTGCTGGAACTGTCTGGAACTGTGTTCTTAAGACAGGCCTCACCCATGATTACTCAAAATGGTTTCTCCAGCTATCATTGGAGAAGCACAAGCTTAAATTTGAATCCACCTTTATGTTATCAGACAATCTTGCCCTTCCATCCCTAGTTCTAATATCTCATACACACACTCTTCATGTCTTCAATGAAGATGGGCACACCGCCTTTCAGCACTTTGATATGTTAATTCTCAAGCATGTTCACATTCATTCATTATCTTGGGATGGAGTAGCAATTTGAGGTTCCCAGGAAATAAGATTAGGTGCCCAGATCACAAGATACAACCTTGGTTCAGTGACTTTGCCAAGGTTAACTTAAAGTCATTAGTTCAGATTATGTCTATTTTATAAAATTTCTACATTTGCTAATGAGGTAACTTTTAAGAAGTCCCCAAGAGTCAGAGCTAATTTCTGGAACACCTTCCCCTACCAGGTGATTAGAAGCTTGAACTTCAAAAACTCCAGAGAAGGGAGTTGATCACCACTGACCAAGGTTTTAATTAGCCATGTGTTTACAGTGGAGCCTGAATTAAAAGTCCCAATCGTAGGGGTTCAGAGTTAATAGGCTGCATTAACAAGCAGGAAGTACCTAAACCCCAACTCCAGACCCCCTCTTCATCTAGATGTATGTTCGTTGTGTCATTTCTTGGTGGTGTATTCTTTGCCATATTAAATTTTTAAAAAAAAGATAGGGCTGGGTATGGTAGTGCATGCCTTTGATCCCAGAGCTCAGGAGGCAGAGGCAGGCGGATCTCTGTGAGTTCAAGGCCAGCTTGGTCTACATAGTAAATTCCAGGCTCCCTGGGGCTACAGAGAGACACTGTCTTGAAAAGACAAAAAAAAAAAAAAAAAAAAAAAAAAAGTTACAGTACTCTGTGGCCTTATAGACAATAAAAAGACTAAAAAGAAAAATGGGGTCAGTTATGCTAAAGCTGCATTTTGCTAAAATGTAACTGACCTAAGAAACCAGGCGAAAGGAGAGATAAGCATAGTAATGCAGTTCCTAGTTCCCTCACAATCTGACGTGTATGTGTGTGTGTGTCGTATATGTGTGTGTAAGTCAGGGGACAACCTGGCATATTGTTCCTCAGGCACTGTCCACCTTGTTTTGTGAGACAGGGTCTCTCACTGACTGGAACTTGCTAAACAGGCTGGCTGGCTAGCGAGCCAGGGATCTGCCTGTCTCCATCTCTCCAGCACTGGGATTACAGGTGCATACAGCACACTTGCCTTTTTTTGTGCATTCTGGAGGCTGAAGAGATCCTCATGCTTACCAACTTGAGTTATTACCCCTTTCTTCTGGCTTTGTGTGTTTGGTATTTTTTTGTTCTGTTGTTTTGTTTTTGAGACAAAGTCTCTAGACCAAAGTGACCTCAAACTCCCTATGTAGGCAAAGATGACCTTGAACTTCTGATCCTCCTGCCTCTACCTCCTTGATGCTGGGGTTATACACATGCATCACTGTGCCAAATTTATTCAGTACTAGGGATCAAACTCAGGTCCCATGCATGCTAGGCTAGCACCCTACCAACTGAGCTACATCCCTAGCTACCTTGTTTTTTTGTTTTTTTGTTTTTTGTTTTTTTTGAGACAGGGTCTCCCTTGTAGCCCCCGCTGGTCTGGAACTCACTATGTAGACCAGACTGGCCTCAATCTCACAGAGATCTGCCTGCCTCTGCCTCCCAAGCACTGGAATTAAAGGCATGCACATCAAGTCTGGAGCTTGTTTTTTGTTGTTGTTTTTTTGTTTTGTTTTGTTTTTTTTTGAGACAGGGTTTCCATATGTACTCCAGGTTGTTCTATGTGCAGGGATTACAGGCATGAGTCACTGGGCCCAACTTGAAATTTTAAGTCTTAATCTTCATACAAAAATAGTAAAGGGAACTGCAGTACACCAATTAGTGGTTTTTTAAATATTTTTAAAAATTATTTTCTGTGTATGTGTGTATTGCCTACATTTATGTAAGTGCACCCGTGTCATGCAATGTCTGCAGAGGACAGAAGAGGTCGTCAGATCCCCTGGAACTGGAGTTACAGACAGTTAGCTACCATGTGGGTGCTGGGATTCAAACCCAGGTCTTCTGCAAGAACAGCCAGTGCTCTTAACCACTGAGCCATCTTTCCTACCCCACCAATTACTGTTTTATATTGTTCTGTCTCCCTGCCTGGGCCTTTCAAGGAAGGTGTTGTTTTGGTGTTAGGGTTAAACCCAGAGTTTCCCACATGTGTAGCATATGCTGTGAGCTACCTCCTCAGCTCCAGGAAAGCAACTCTGAAATGACAAAGTATTCAGTGTTTCTGCTTTCTTCACCCCTTATTTGTAAAACAAACTCCTCTTCAGCCCCTTGAAACATTTATCACTTATCTGTCCTATGGAATGAAATGTTGCCTATTCTAGAACTTCATTTTGTTTTGTTTTTTGGTCTTTTTTTTTTTTTTTGAGACAGGGTCTTCCTGAAGCCCCAGCTGGCCTGGTACTTGCTATGTAGACCAGGCTGGCCTTGAACTCACAGAGATCTGCCTGTCTCTGCCTCCGGAGTGCTGAGATTAAAGGCATGCACCAGCACACCAAACCTGATTCCAGAACTTCGAATAAAGCCAGTTATAATCTTTAAATTGTTGGAACATAACTGTAATAAATCAGCAACAGTAAATGAACTATTTTCCTGAGTTCTGAAGCTACTATAGTACACGACTCAAGAAAGGACTCAGGGAACCTCCAAATCCTGTCCAACTCAGACAAGCTGGGCAAGTGGGTAACCTGAAGACCTGCCACTTGCCATTGGCATCTGAACTGGGTCAGCCTTATGAGACTAAGCCTTCACCCATGGCGTCTGTACTAACTTTAGGCAGACAATGTCAGAATACAGTGGTACATGAATATAATCCCAACACTCTGGTGTCTAAGGCAGGAGGACTGCTTTGAGTTCAAGGTCATCCTAAGTAAGACCCTGTCTCAGAAAACTAAAACCAATGGGTAGGCATGATGGCACATGTCTTTAATCCCAGCACTTGGGAGGCAGAGGTAAGTAGATCCCTATAAGTGCAAGACTAGCCTGGCCTATATAGTGAGTTAGAGGCTAGCCAGGGCTACATAGTAAGACCTTGCTTAAAACAAAATAAAAAGAAAGTAATCTTTTTTTTAAAGATAGGGATTTGCCGGGCGTGGTGGTGCATGCCTTTAATCCCAGCACTTGGGAGGCAGAGGCAGGCGGATCTTTGTGAGCTCCAGGCCAGCCTGGTCTACATAGTGAGTTCCAGGACAGCGGGGGCTACAGGGAGACCCTATCTCAAAAAGGCAAAAAAAAAAAAAAAAAGATAGGGATTCATGTAGCCTAGGCTGGCCTCAAGGATGACCTCAAACTCTTGATCTTCCTGCCTCCACCTCCCAAGTGCTGGGATTTTAAGTGTGACACCTGGTCAAAAAAAATCTCATATTTACTTGCAGTGATTCATATCCATGGAGACCCATAGAGGCATACCCAGACCCAGGAATCCCAGATGATGTACCCATGAAGAGAAGTGCCTCCATCCCATTTGCACAGATAACCACTCTCCATATATGTGTTGACGTGTCAGCACAGAACACAATAAAGGGAGTACATGGAGCTTATATGTGAAAATAGAAAACTATAACTTTGTGTCCATAGTTGTGTGTGTGTGCGTGTGTGTGTGTGTGTGTGTGTGTGTGTGTTTGTGTGTGTGTGTGTGTGTGTATTGCACCTGGGGATGGAATATAGAGTCTACGGCATGCTGGGCTATTGCTTTACCACTGAGGTACACCCACTGCCCACAGTTGAAGATTAGAATCTTACAGTTCCAGTTGTCTTCTGAAGCTCAGTAGTTGACACCATTGTACAGAATTCTTTCTCTTGGATGAGTGCACACAGAGTTGCCTGAAATGGGAAAAACATTTGTATCTCATTAGCTTTTCTGTTCCCAGTGTTTTGGTTAGTGTAAGAACAGTTCTTCTAGTAACATCCTGTCCTCTCAAGGGAAATCAAGAGTTTTCCCAGCTATGTTCCCAGAAGGGAAAAATAATGAAAGACGGGGGTGGGGGGAGAGAGAGGGAGAAGAACAAAAAAGAGAAGCAAGTGCAAAATTCATTGTTTTTCCATAGTGTGACGAACCATGCATCCTCCTACCTGTGTACAATGAGGAATAAATCCGTAGACAAGGAGGCGATCATTATGAAACAAGGATGGCACCCAAGCTGGTGCCTGCAGAGGCTCGGGCGCATCTCTGCTAAGCTGCTGCCATTTGATGGAGACAGAGTGGCAACTTGGGGAACGTGACCTGGTTATTTGGGCTTCTATCTATAAGGAAATAAGAATTACAGATCTTTTAATGTTACGTCTAAAAAATAGGCTAGGGATATATCTCAGCTGTAATGTGCTTGACTTGTACGCATGAGGCCCTGGTTTCAATCTCTAATACCATAAAACAAGCAAACAAACCACCAAAATAGTTACTTAACAGTTAAAGTTTTCACTCTGTCCCTTTGAGATTTTTTTAGCCTTTTGGTTTCCTTTTTGTTTTTCTTCCTGCCACAAGGTTCTTTAGGGGCTGGAGAGATGGCTCAGTGGTTAAGAGCACTGGCTATTTTTGCAAAGGACCTGGGTTTGGTTTCCAGCACCCACATGGCAGCTAACAATCATCCTAAACTCCAGTTCCAAGGGATCCAACACCTTCTTCTGACCTCTTTGGGCATTGCACCACACAGGTACACCTAGGTCCATGCAGGCAATACACTCACACTCACTGTAGTGGTTTGCAGGAGAATGACCTCCATAGGCTTCAAGTATTTGGACATTTTGTTCCCAGTTGGTGGCACAGTTTGGGGAGATCTTAGAAGGCATGGCTATGCTGGAGGAAACCGTCACTGGGGGTGGGCTTAGAGAGTTCTTAAGCCTTGCTGGATCTGAAGTCACTCTCTTGCTTCCTGTGCCCGCTTGAAGATGTGAGAATTTAGCTTCCACTCTTCCTCCAGGCATCTCTGCCACTATGCCTCCCTGCCATGATGGCCTTATGCCCCTTTGGAACTGTAAGCTCAAATATCTCTTCCTTCTATAAGACGGTTTAGTCAGTGTTTCTATCACCACAACAGAAAAGTAACTTATACACTCATAAAATAAAAAAATAATAAAATATTAAGTTTTTATATTTTGGCTGGTAAGATGGCTCAGCCAGTAAAGGAACTTTGCCACACAAGCCTGGTGACCCTGGAACATTGCTGATGGGAGTATGAAATGTGTAGCTGCTGTGGAAAAAGAATGGCAGATCCTTAAAACATTAAACAGAGTTACCATATGATTCAGTGATTCCACTTTGGAATATAGACCCAGAATTGAATGAATGGAAGGATTCCAACACCGTATGCCAGTGCTTATAACTGAGCCATTCACAGCAGTCAGAAGAGTGGAAATAAACCAGGGATCCATTGATAGCTGAATGGATAAACAAAGTGAGGTGTGTGTGTGTACATATATATTATATGATGGAATAAATATATATGCATATTTAATAGAATGTTAATCCTCTTAAAGCTGGAATTGTAGCACCTGGGAAGTTGAGGCAGAAGGATCAGGAGTTCAAGGTCAGCCTCAGCTCAGCTTGGGCTACGTGAGACCCTTTTTCAAAAAGCAAAAAAAAAATCAAGTAAAATAAGTCAAATCAAATACTCAATCTTGAAATGGGAAGAAATTCTGTCAGACATAAATGTGGATGAACCTTCTGAGAGGCAAATTCATAACAGCTGAAAGTAAAAGTGACATTAGAAAGCACTAGAGGTAGGAGGCAACATCGAGTTATTATTTAAATGGTAAAGTGTTTCTGTCTGGGATGATGAAAAAGTTCTGGAAATGGATGGTGATGATAGTTACACAACACCGTGAATCAATGTACACCAATGTAACTTATGCATAAAATGGTTAAATGATAACTTTTCTGTATGTTTTATCATAATAAAGAACTAATTGCTACATGTCATAGAGTACCCTTGTAATCCCAGCACTATGAGATGCTGAAGCAGGGGCACTAGGAGTTCAAGGCCAGCCTGCTCTACATAAGGAGATCTGTCTGCATCAAATAACCAACTATACAAAATTAACTGTAGCAAAACACACAGTGCTCCTCCGGTACCTGGGAACCTTGCTGGGGGCGCGGGGTTCTTGGATATTCAAATCCCTTAGAAAAATGTTGCAGCACTTAGAGAACCTATACCTATCTTCCATTACACAAAATCTCTCACAATGACTCTTTGCCTAATTCAAAACAAATGCTATGCAAATAGTTGTTACATCATATGGTATGGGGAATAATAGCAAGAATAAAAGAAGTCAGTGCATGTTCATTATAGATGCAATTAAATACAGACACACACACACATATTCATTAAGGTTAGTTGAATCCAAGGATGTAGAACCCATGGATACATAGAGGTGAGTGTGTAATACTTCATTTTAGAAACTTAATCTATGGAAATGTGTAAGTAGAAATAAAGTGATTAACTAGGATAATGACCCAGTTAAGCAATCACAATCTTCTTGACAGGGATGAGTGCCTCCTTTTAAACTTTATTATTATTATGCTTTTAATTTATTACATTTTAATTTATTTTGTGTGTGAGAGAGTGGTTCGGGGTGCATGTCACAGCGCACATGTGGAGGTCAGAGGGTAACTTCTGGGAGTCAGTTCCCTCCTTCTACCATGTGGACCCTGTGGATTGAAGTCAGGTCCTCAGGCTTGATGATAGGTGCTTTTACCTACTGAGCTGTCTCTCTGGTCATTATTATTATTAAAATTTTTTTTCTAAGCTTTGGCCTCCTTTTAGCTCTTGTCTATTCATGAAAACACAGAAGTTACTATCAGACTTGTAAGAAGACAAGATTTCCACATGTAAACATAAGACTGCAGATGTTTTATAAAACACATACCTGTTTTTTCCAAATGTGCTTCGATTTTGAGTTAAAATATTCAAATACTCCGGCACCACACTGGGACAAGGTCCTTAAGATGTGACAATTTGCTGTAGAACTGATCAGATTTCACATATTTTTAAGAGGTTTTTGTTTGTTTGTTTGTTTTGTTTTGTTTTTAAAGAGTATCACTCTGTAGCCCAGGCTGTCCTTGATCTTGTGGCAATCCTCCCACCTGATACAGACATGTTAACACCATGCCTGGCTCAGTTGTGTTTTGTTTCTTTGAGACAGGGCTTACTATGTAGCCCAGGCTGGCCTTGTACTTCCTTTTTTTTTGGTGGGTTTTTTTTTTTCGGTCTTTTTTAGATAGGTTCTCCCTGTAGCCCCAGCTGTCCTGGAACTCACTATGTAGACCAGGCTGGCCTTGAACTCACAGAGATCCGCTGCCTCTGCCTCTCGAGTTCTGGGATTAAAGGTGTGCGCCACCACGCCCAGCTTGTTGTTATTTTTTAAAAGATGCATGCAAGTGCCCAAGGAGGCCAGAAGAGGACCTGGATTCCCTGGAACTGGAATTACAGATGGTTGTTAGCTGCCATGTGGGTGCTCGGAACTGAATCCAGGTCCTCTGCTATAAGAGCAGCCAGTGCTCTCAACCTCTGAGCCACCACTGAGCCATCTCTCCAGCCCAGTCTTGAACTTTCAATCCTCCTGACTCAGCTTGTCAAGTGCTGAGATTACAGGTGTTTGCCACCATATCCAGCAATTTTCAAGTCATTTTAGACTTACTTGTGAAACGTATGTTAATAATGTTCAGGAGGATTAACATATAATGGAAGAGACATACAATGAAGAATTTACTCTTCTGTTGCTGAGGTCAAATAAATAAAAGGGGGCCAGGGTGCAGCTCCATGGTAGAGTGTACCTTAGACAAGTGAGGTCTTAAAGTCAATTCAGTGCTGGCAAAAAATAAATGAATAAATAAAATTTAACACTTCAGTAGTTAAAAACAAACAAGAACAACAAAACCCCCAAAAGTACTGGGTGTACTGCACACATCTATAATTCCAGAACTTGGGGAGGTAAAGGTAGGAAGAACAGGAGTTTAAGCATAACCTTGGCTACATTTTGAGGCCAGCTTGGGCCATATGAGCCCCTTCTCAAAAACAAAACAAAATATAAACAAAATCCTCATAGTTGATATGGACAGTAACCTAAAGGGTTAGGATGTAGCTCACTTGGTACAGTGTTTGCCTAGCATGCATGAGGCCCTGGGTTCAATCCCCAGCACTGCATAAATCAGGTATAGTAGTGTATATCTGTAATCCTAGCACTACTTGAGAGGCCAGCCTGGGCTACATGAGACCCTGTAGCAAAACAAACAAAACATGAATCTAGGCAGACATGGTGGGACAGGCCTGTAATCTCAGCATTTGGGAGGTTGAGGCAAGAGGATCATAAGTTCCAGGCCAGCCTAATCTAAATAGTAATTTCTAGGCCAGCCTGGGGTGTCGAGTGAGACCTTGTCATAAAACAAAACGCAAAAACCAAAGAACTGATACAAAGGAAAGGAAAAACAACAGAGTCATGGAAGGCTGTACAAAACAGCAAGGAATGTTAATCATCAAGAGCCCGTGGACTAACTTTAGAGGCCACAAAGTGTCATGAGGCGGGAGCTAAAGAAGGCATGTGGCTATCCTGACTCTCAGAAAACCAGGGCTCACAGTCGGAGTACACCTGTGAGGACAGCACAGCAGTCCACATACCACTTCTCCAATCTGCTGAGGGAGAGTCTGCCTTATACCTTGCCTTAGACAGGGCTACCTGGTGGCCACTTACTAGGGTAAACACTCTGTAGGAGGCTCTCTCTGGTGTTTCCTTACCCAGATGTCCCATGGTTTAGAGAGAACGATATTTGGGAAAAGGAGTGATTCCAATAACCTCAGGAAAGATCTGTTCAGGACTTCAAAATGCAAATGCCCGAAACTGATAGCATGGGAGGTGGCAAGGCAGCAAGAAGGCCAGGTACACCCCCGGAAGCAGGTAGCACTAGCCTTGCCCAAATAGGCCCCAGAGAGCTGTGCCAGGCTAGTCAGAACAAGCTAGACATTTGAACTGTTACACAAAACAATAATGAGATAAGTATTTCATGTTCACCATCATTTTACCAAGGAAAGGTTAAACAACATGCCCACGGTCACATCTAAAGAGTGCTGCCCCTCCACCAGTTTCTGTATATGCATACCAACTTCAAGCTTGCAAAACTCTCATTCGGTCCAACTAATGATCTAATTTTTTAATAATCTGGTTGCTGTGACCAGATCTCTAAGACTTACCCGACAGCACAGGTGAACACCCTGGTGTGATGGACATTTCTTTTCACGAGCTGCAATGTCAGACTCTCACTCTGGAGGTGCCCATCAGATATGAGGAGAATGTTCCGTAACCCTTGAGAAGGGTACAGGAAACTTAAATATCGGAGAATTTTCCACAAGTCTGTATTCCCCATGGTCGGTGCAGCAGACTGGGAGAGGAAGTAAAAGGTGGTTTACTCTTTTTTGGGTATGTGCATCATTAACTGTGAGGCCAATATGGTAACTATGGAAACTTGCATGCCATCATTAATTCATCATTCACTGAAGCATGTCTCCCAAGGAGAACCTGGAGATAGTGGAAAAAACTACACAACTGTGGAATAACTATACTTAATATCCTTTTATTTCATAGCCTTTAGCAACTATAATGTTATCAGTGGGCAATTAAAAAATCATTTTCGGTGCACGCCTTTAATCCCAGCACTCAGGAAGCAGAGGCAGGTGGATCTCTGTGAGTTCAAGGCCAGCCTGGTCTATGTAGTAAGTTCCAGGACAGCTGGGGCTACAGGGAGACCCTGTCTCAAAAAGACCAAAAAAAAAAAATCATTTTCAGGAGCTGAAGAGATGGTCCAGTGGTTAAGAGCTCTTGCTAAAGACCCAGATTCAGTTCTTAGCACTCACATGAGGGATCACAACCATCTGTAACTCCATTTCCAAGTGATTTTGACACCTTCTGGCCTCACTGGGTACCAGGCCTGCATGTGATACACACACTTACATGAAGGCAAGCACTCATACACATGAAATAAAAATAAATGTTGAGGGGCTGGAGAGATGGCTCAGCCATGCGGTTAAGAGCACTGACTACTCTTGCAGAGGACCCAGGTTCAATTCCAGCACCCACATGGCGGCTATGAACCATCCTTAACTTCAGTTCCAGGGGAATCTGAAGCCCTCTTCTGACCTCTGTGGCACTGCATGACATGGGTGCACTCACATACATGCAGGCAATACATTCGTACACATAAAATAAAAATAATAAATATTTTAAAAATTAAAAATTTTTTTTAAAAATGTTGAAAAAAATCATTTTCAAAGAACTATAGCATCTATGCAAGGAAACGCCTCCTTCAAAGCCTCCCTGGTTTTGCCAGCCTCAAGGAGGCAATTGGTCATTCTCAATTTATTTATTTAATTAATTTATTTAGGTTTTTTTGAGACAGGGTCTCCCTGCAGCTCCAGCTCACCTGAACTCGTTAGTAGACCAGGCTGGCCTCCATCTCATAGAGATTTGCCTGCCTCTGCTTCCCCAGTGCTGGAATTAAAGGTGTGCAAGTTTATTTTGAAATAAAGAAAACAAGGAGCAGAAGAAAGCTTTCCAAAATGATAGTGCAGTTATATTGGGTGGTAGAAATGTGGGTGATTTTTCTTTTACTTTTTTGAGATGGGCTCATGTAGCCCAGGCTAGACCCAAACTTGCTAGGTAGCTGAGGATGTTCCTGAATTCCTGATCCTCCTGCCTCTGCCCACTTATATGTGATACCATGCCCAGCTTCATTTTTTTCTTTTTACTCCTGTTAATTTCTAACTTTAAAAATAAGTTCATATTATTATTTATTATTATTATTATTATTATTATCCATGCTATGGTTTGGATAACTGACATCTCACCCCTGTGTTAAAGGCTTTATTACCTACCTGGCATGCTACTGGGAGGTGGTAAAGCCTTTAGGAGGTGGAGCCTAGTGGTTTAGGAGTTAGGTTGGGGGGTGTGCCCTTGAAGAAGGGAAAATCAGGACCCCCCTTTCTCTCTCTGCTTCCAGGCCCTCAGGTGAATACCCTCCAACATCCCCCTCTGCTGTGCCACCAAGAGATCAAAGCTACAGGGTCACGAAACTATGAAGAAACCTTTGCAACCCGGGGAGCAGAAGCACCCTGCTGTGAGTTGATGTATCTCAGGTGTTTGTTATAGAAAGCTGACTAACATCCACCAATGTACAAAAATCCCAGGAACACTTTAGGTCCTAGAACGCACCACTAGAGCATCACAGATGAAGACTCAGGAGATGGAGGACAGTTCTCTTACTCTGGTGGTTTGAATGAAAATGTCCCCCATAGGCTCCAAGTATTTGGACATTTGCTCCCAGTTGGTGGGGCTGTTTTGGGAGGTTTTAGGAGTTGTGGCCACGTTGGAGGAAGCATGTCACTGGGGGTGGGTTTTAAGAGTTCTTAAACCTGGCAGAATTTCTTGTCTCTCTCTGCTTCCTGTGCTTGTTTGAAGGTATGATTGCTTAGCTTTCTGCTCCAGTCACCTCCTGCCACCATGCCTCCGCCTCTCCTGTCATTACGGACTCTCTCTGGAAGAGTAAACTCAAATAAACTCTTCCTTTTATAAGCTGCCTTAGGCATGGTGTCTTTATCACAGCAACAGAAAAGGAACTAATACACTTACCATAATGAACTCTGTCACCATTTTATTGCTCGTGATGTACTTAGGATATGAAAATAACTCTTTGTAACCTGTGTAATAAGAAGGTATGATATACTGCCATTAAATATTCACCAGATTGACCACTAATAAATAATAATGCTACTTTATACCACTGTTTCTATAATAAAGAACATTATACATTTATGTATATTCTTTCCTTTTCAGAAAACTATGTATGAACACTTTAAGATACAAAACACTCATCATGGCATTACTCTAGCACATCCTATGGGCTGTGCTATGCAAAGTATTCTGAGTCAAGTTCCACTAGGAGATCTCTATCACTTGTGCAAATCAAGGGGCAGGACTTTTCACTGGCATGGGCAGTCTGCCCTGGCATGGCAGAATCTCCAGCCATGTCCTTTGTACCCAACATCCTTATGTGACCTGTGACCCCAGCAAAGCAGCTCTTGCTCCATTGTGGAAGGGCTTCTGCAGAATAGCATAGAAGATGAGATGCAATAGGACAAAACTGTCCCTTACCCTAGTCTACACTCCTTTTCCCATCCCTGATGATAGAATGTATGAATTGCAGAAGAGCTTAAAGTATCTAATTGGCCCTAAATTGGCAGGCTGGCCTTGCTCAAGCCTTATCAACTGGGTACTCCCAGGACTGAGAGAAACTGTTTATGGATCCCACTTATCTCCCTTAGTGCCCTAAGATAAATCCCCTGCCTGAAGGCTGAGCATGGCGGCTCACACCTTTAATTCCAGCTGGGAGCTAGGGCTACAGGGAGACTATCTCAAAAAGACCAAAAAAAAAAAAAAAAAAAAATCGCCTGTCTGAGAAAATAATCTTGAAGAGAGAGACCCTCAAGGATACCAGATCCTGGCATGGAGTTAACTCTTGCAGCTGTGTGCAGCAGAGTTCCTATAGAAGTTCAGATTGCTCCCCCTTTCGATGCAGATAGATACCCTCATTCTCATTCCCAGGAAGGATTTGTCAGCCTTGCTGTGTTCCTTGAATAAAGGAGTGCATTCCTTGCCTGTGGCAGGTCTAGCTCTATTTCTTTTTGTTTTCTTTTTTTGTCTTTTTGAGACAGGGTCTCCCTGTAGCCCCAGGTGACCTGGAACTCACTATGTAGACCAGGCTGGCCTTGAACTCACAGAGATCTGCCTGCCTCTGCCTCCTGAGTGCTGGGATTAAAGGCGAGTACCATGATGCCCAGCTCTGACTCTTCTAAACTTTAAACTCCTTACTTTTTTCTGCTCTCCTAAATCTAACACCTGAAATGGCTTTTTTTTTTTTTTTGAGAGAGAGAGAGGGTCTTGTTCTGTAGCCCATGTTAGCCAGGAATTCACAATGTAGCTCAAGCTAGCTTCAACCTCTTGCCAGTCCTGCCTCAGTTTCTTGATTGGCAGAATTACAAGTGTGAGCCACCATACATTGCTCAAAAGCACTACATATTTTGGGTAATCCCTTTACCATTCATCAATATCTGACCAGGGGATATAGCCAAATTACTGTTTCAAGCTGTCTTAAATAATATCCAGTTCATGATTAAGCCATTCGCTTGAGGCACAGATTTGTGCCACCACTTCCAGCTCTGCCATGCCTTGTTCTTGAGCTATTCCTGTCCTCCTATCTCAAGGGTGACATTTACCTTCCTGTGACATGGCAGGCTTGGTGCTGCCTGAGCCCATTCCTTTCACTCTATCTACAACTGAGCTGGTTGCAAATGTTGGTCCTGACCCTTGGGACCTCCTACTCAGTAAACCAAGGTTCTTGGATTTGGTTCATCTGATAGTAATAAGAACATTTGTGTCTCTCCCACTATGAAGCAAGCCCTGTTTAAAATCCTTTGCACACACCAGCTCCTCTCTTTACAAAACTACAGTGTAGGAGATATTGCCATCCAATGGCAGGTGAGGAAAATGAGGAAGCAAAAGTTTGAGCAAACTTGCCCAAGGTGATGCAGGGAGCTTATGAGTGGCTGAGGCTGCACCCAGAGGCTCTGACTCCACAGTCCTGAACTTCCACTTCACACTAAGCTCCCTCCTATTGCACAAAGCCAGGCCCCAGCAGTCATCAGTGTGCATAGAGCGTGCTCATATTAAGGAGGAGGCACATGTGGGACTGGGGACAATATACTCACCTGTGCCAAACTGTATTATGTTTACTTTTTGATCCTCACCAACCAAGGACACAGCATACAGGGCGATTTGCTTGGCTTGCATGAATGTCACACCCTCCATGGAACTGGAGCAATCAAGACAAATAATCACTTCATTCTTTTCGCTGAGGCCAGGAAGGCTGGCGTCAAGATCTGGTTGAAAGACAAGCATGCAAGCCTAAAAGGAGAAAAAGTAGTTGGAATGGAGGTTGTTGTAACTTAAACTGGAAGACATCTACAATTCTAAAACTGGCTAAGGGTGCTGAGATGACTCAGTGGGCAAAAACATTTTCTGCTCAAGTCTGATCCGAGTTTGATCCCCAGAACCCACAGGGAAGGAGAGAACCAACTAATACATGCTGCGACACATGTGTGCCCATGTGCTCACTTGCTCTCTGTCTCTCTGTCTCTCTGTCTCTGTCTCTGTCTCTCTCTCACACACACATACACAGACACACACAATCATTCATTCATACACAATTTTTAAAAAACTAGTAAAATAGCCGGGCGTGGTGGCGCACGCCTTTAATCCCAGCACTTGGGAGGCAGAGGCAGGCGGATCTCTGTGAGTTCAAGGCCAGCCTGGTCTACATAGTGAGTTCCAGGTCAGCTGGGGCTACAGGGAGACCCTGTCTCAAAAAGACCAAAAAATTTAAAAAAAAAGAAGAAGAAGAAGAAGAAGAGGAGGAGGAGGAGAAAAGAAGAGGAGGAAGAGGAAGGGGAGAGGAAGAGAGGGAGGAGGAGGAAGGAGGAAGAAGAGGAGGAGGGAGGAAAAGGGATTAGAGAGATGGCTCAGCCATTAAGAGCACTGGCTGCTCCTGTAGAGGACCCAGGTTCAGTTCTCAGCACCCATTTGGCAGCTAACAACCGTCTGTAACTTCAGTTCCAACGGATCCAACACCCTATTCTGAGCTCTGTGGGCACTGTATAACACATACGTGAAGGTAATACACTCATACACATAAAATAAAAAATAATAAATAAAAAATATTTCAAAAAATAAAAAATGAATAAGATTCATTTTTGTAAGACAGGGTCTCATGTAGCAAAGGCTAGCCTCAAAAAGACCTTGAACTTCTGATCCTCTTGTCTATATTTCAAAGCACTAGGATTCAGGTATGTATAGCCACTTCTGGCTAAGATTTCTCTAACAACAAAATGTTTTGCTAGGAGTTTTTTTGTTTTTTGTTTTTTTTTTTTAAAGGCATCCTAGGGGTTCAAACAGAGTAGAAAGTTAGAGCTGGATTTCAACATGTGGGACAAAAAACTCCAGAGAAACCAAGAATTACAATAGGAGTCTGGGGCTGTAGCTCAGTTAGTAGAGTGCTTGCCCTGCATGCTTGCTTTCCAGCAGTGCATAAGACTGGGCATGGGAGTGCCCTGTAATTTCTGCACAAGGGAGGTAGAGACAGGAGAATCAGAGTTCAAATTCATCGTTGGCCACATTAGGAGTTTGAGGCCAACATGAGCTAACATAAGACCCTGTTCCCCCAAATATAGAAATAATGAATAAGTAAATAATACCTCTCTCTCAACACACTGTTGTAAAAGGAATTCAGATGCCAGTGTGATTACTAAAATACACACATGGACCTTTATTAATCAGCCAGTACATAAAGTATAACAATTCTCCTATAACTTTCAGTCTTAATTTTTATTGCATTCTTTTCTTTCCTTTTTATTATATTATTTATTTACTTAGGATTAGGGTTATTTATTTTTCTTTTATGTGTAGGAGTGTTTTGCCTGTGTGTAAGTGTACCTGGGTCTGAAAAGCCAATGGAAGCCAGAAGAAGGCCTTGGATCCCCTGGAACTGTAGTTAAGGACAGTTGTTAGCTGCTATGTGGGTGCTGGGAACCAAACCCAGGTCCTCTGCAAGAGTAGCCAGTGCTCTTAACCACTGAGCTATCTCTCCAGACTCTTTTTATTTATTTTGTGTACGGGTACATGTGAGTAGAGGTGAGGGGATATCCTACAGGGACCAGTTCTTTCCTGCCACCTTGTGGGTCTCACAGATCAAATTCAGGTTGTCAGGCTTGGTAAGGCACCTTTACATGTTGGGCCATCTCACTAGCTCCAAATATCAGTTTAACTGATGAAGCAATTCTTTGTTATAGACACACAAAATCCTATTATGGCCATAAATATTTTCATTTAAGTTTTTTTATTATTTCATTTATTGATTTTGTGTATATACGTATGTGTGTATAGGTGTATGTGTATGTATTTGGGCACGCATGTGCTACACCACGCATGTGGTGGTCAGAGGACAACTTGAGGGAGTTGAGTCTCTCCTTCCACTACGTGGGTCCCAGAGATCTAAATTCAGGGTGTGAGGTTTGGGAAAAGCGCCTTTAGCCACTGAGCCATCTCACTGGTCTTTGTTTTTCTAGTATCAGTAATTTTTTTTTTTTTAACATTTATGTATTTGGGGTAGGGGACAGATGTGCCACGGTGCTCATGTGGTACTCTCCTTCCACCATGGGGGTTCCAGGTAACTGAGGAAATCTTAAGCTGCATTTTGGTGGCTGCGTCTCCTGACGTATAGGACTGCCCGTTTGTGGTGAAACATCCTTGAAGTTGTTCCTTCTATATCAGAAACCAAGGCCCCATGGCATTTTCCCACACATGTATTAAGGTAGTCTGTATCTCAAAAGGCCTGACCTTAGTGTAATATCATTTACACTGTGGTTTTGTGCCCCTCATCTTTTCTAGGGGTTCATAGGGAAAAATACCATAAATGGAAGATCTGGTCCACTATGATTTGGGTCGGGGGAGGGTCACCTGGCCCAGTGAATAAACCACCCACCTCATAAGTATTCATAAAACTTCTTTTAAATCCATAACATAAAAAAAACACTGGGCTACTGCCCACCTTTGGGGTGTTTGCTTTGCTTTGATTTGCTAAGAAAACCTCGGCTTAAACTCTCTATGCCTCTTTCCTCAAGAGAACAAGAACTAAGGCACCCCAGTAACATCGTGGCACATGCTTGTAATTCACAATCAGGAGATGATAGCAGGAGGAGCACAAGTTCCAGGCCAATTTTAGCTATATAATGAGTTCAAGACCACCCTAAAAGGCTAGAGACATGGTTCAGTAGTGAAGAGCAAGTGCTACTTTTGCAAAAGACTGGGGTTCGATTATTTTTTTAATTTTGTGAGATTTGCATTTTATTTATTATTTTTATTTTATGCGTATGAGTGTATTGCCTGCATGTATGTGAATGCACCCATGTCACACAATGCTGCGGAGGTCAGAAGAGGGCTTCAGATTTCCCTGGAACTGGAACGGTTTGTAGTCGCCATGTGGGTACTGGGGAACCCAGGTCCTCTGCAAGAGCAGTCAGTGCTCTTAACCGCTGAGCCATCTCTCTAGCCCCTGGGGCTCAATTTCTAGCACCCACATGGTGGCTCAAGACTGCCTAAAAGTCCAGTTCTAGGGGATCTGATGCTCTCTTCTGGCTTTTGTGGGCACCGCAGGCAAAACACATAAAAATAATAAATACAAATTTTTAAAAAGACTAGCCTAAACTACACAGAAAGACTGTTTCAAAAACAAAACACAAATAAAAATTCAAAATTTAGTAGTATATTTATTCTGACATATTTTTCCAATACTGTCTCCTCCATATATTATTACTATTGTTATTATTGTTATTATTACTATATTCTTGAAACAGGGTCTCATATAGCACATGTTGATCTCAAATTCTGTATGTAACAGGATAACCTTGAACTCCTGATTCCCCCTTGTGTTCATGAGGCACCATGCTCAGCTACTTCATTTATTTGTGTGTGTGTGTGTGTGTGTGTGTGTGTGTGTGTGTTGGTATTTTCTTGTTATGTAGCCAAGGTATGCTTTGACTAGCTGTGATTCTCCTGCCTCGGCCTATACTAGTGCTTGGATTACAAATGTGAGTCATCACACCTGGCAGTATCCCCTACTTCTAAGTGAGAAGGATCATACCTCACTTTCTTTTTCTGGATGTTTTTCAACCCACATTCTTGGGAGATACGCATCACACAAACCAATGTGGAGAGAAAATCCGCTGCTGTCTAAGGAGCTGCCTTCTACCGTGCTAATCACAGCTTTGCAGTCGGTGCTCTGCAAAGGAAACAAGGAGGCAACAAAGTGAACAATGGAATAACAGCATAGTGTCAGTTTGTACCCACCTGCTAAGCATTAAGTGCTTGCTATTTACATACTCTATTAAGAATCAATAGTGCAGGCCAAGTGCGGTGGCGCATGCCTTTAATCCCAGCACTCACGAGGCAGAGGCAGGTGGATCTCTCTGAGATCGAGGCTGGCCTGTTCTACATAGTGAGTTGTCCAGACCAGCTAGGGCTACTGGGAGAATCTGTCTCAAAAAAACAAAAACAAACCAAACGAACAATGAAGATAACATGGTACACTGGAAAATGGTCTCAAGGTCTTGCCACTCCTGGATACTAACCCCTCTGCAATGTGACTTGGGAGCTCTTCCCACTTGGAAGCAGCATTTATTGTTGTACTCACATCAGCCAATGGGGTTGTCCATGTGACTTGCTTGGCCAGTGGGCTATTGGGAGATGTGGTGCAACTAGGAGACTGAACAGTATACCACAGGGCTGGCCCTGACCTTTTGCTACTGGGACTCTTCCACCACCATGTGAATGACCCTGAATCAACTTATACAACCGAGACACAGGAACCACCCAAGCTGACATGGCAGCCACTCAAGCTGACACAGGCCAGCAGCTGTGTGTGAGTGAGGTGCTCCTAGATCATCTTGTCTCAACTAAGCCACAAAAATCTGAGAATAATTAATGCTTACTATTCTAAGCCACAGAGTTCTGGGGCTATTTGTTATATGACGATGGTAGCAGATGTGGAGGTCTTAGTGTTCAGAATGAATAATGATGGTTATGTACTTCTGTTTAATGCTAAGATCTCATGAGAGAAGCAATAAAAAAAAATGTGAGCCCATAAGAATACTGGGAACAGCCAGGTGTGGTGGCATGTGCCTGTAGTCCCACCACTTGGGAGACAGAGGCAGGCGGATCTCTGTGAGTTCAAGGCCAGCCTGATCTACATAGTTCTGGCCAGCTGGGGCTACAAGGAAACCCTGTTTCAAAAAGACAAATAAAAAAAAAAAAAAAAAAAAAAAAGAGAATACTGGAAACAGCAACAAAGAGAAATGTCAACCACTACGAGAACATGGGCCTGGTTAACTGGCTGTGTATTAAGTGTTCAGGCCCCAGGTGCCTCCCCACCCAGGTAAGCTAAGCAGTGAGTGCCATTTATCCCTCATTTCTCACTAAAGAAAATCAAAGATTACTTAAGGGAATTCAGCTGAATAGAACACAGCCTAGGGAGCATTAGGGTACAGGGTTGCATTACACAGCGGGGTGAAGCCAGCATTTTTTTTTTTTTTTTTTTTTGGTCTCTTTGAAGCAGGGTCTCCCTGTAGCCCCAGCTGTCCTGGAACTCACTATGTAGACCAGGCTGGCCTTGAACTCACAGAGATCCGCCTGCCTCTGCCTCCCAAGTGCTGGGACTACAGGCCTGTGCCACCACACCCAGCGAAGCCAGCATTTTAAACACCAGCCCCTGGGATGGAAAAGATGGCTCAGTGGTTAAGGGCACTGGCTGCTCTTAAAGAACACTGGGGTTCAAATCTCAGCACTCACATGGTGGCTAATAATGGTCTGTAACTCCAGTTCCAGGGGATCCAATGCCCTCTTCTGTCTTTGAGGGTACTGGATAACATAGGTACACCCACATATAAAAAGGCAGCACACTCATATACATAAAATTAAAAATATTTTTAAAATTTCTAAAAGGGGGCAATGGGTGGATGCCAAAGGGAAGGGGGAAGGGGATATAAAGATGATTTATGTATGAAATACACAAAAATTTAATAAAAACTTTTTAATTAAAAAAATTAAATACCAGCCCCTTAGCTTCCTCCCAGTCATCTTCTGTAAACACCAGAGCTGCATAATGGGCTTTCTCATGTCTCAGTCTGAATGATGAACACAGTCACCCATACCTCTAGTATTTGGAGAAAAGCCTCTAACATGGAATATGGAGATAAGGAAACAAACAGAACTCAGAGAGGTGACACAACCCAGGAAAACAAGAAAAATATATTTAAAATATTTCAAGCCAGGTTTGGTAGCATATACCTTGAATTTCAGCATTTGGGAGGCTGAGGCAGGAAGACCAGGAGTTCAAGGCTAGCCTCAGCTACACATCGTTTGAGGCTGTATCCCCAGCCCAGACGTTACTTTTTTTTTTTTTTTTTTTTTTTTTTTTGAGACAGGGTAGCCCCTGTAGCCCCAGCTGGCCTGGAATGCACTATGTAGACCAGGCTAGCCTTGAACTCACAGAGCTCACCTGCCTCTGCCTCCCAAGTGCTGAGACTAAAGGCATGATCCACCACACCCAGCCCCAGGAGTCACTTTTAAAGTATATACTATATAGAGGTTAAAAAATAAAATGTCAGGGCTGGAGAGATGGCTCAGTGGTTAATAGCTTGCTGCTCTTGCAGAGGACCCAGGTTTGATTCCCAGCACCCACATGGTGGTTAACAACCATCTGCCATCTGTCCATTCCAGGGGATCTGACCCCCTCTTCTGACTTCCAAGGGCATTGAACAACATAGGTGTACCTACCTACATGCAGGCAATACACTCATACACATTAAGTAAAAATAATAAAGTTTTGAAAAAATAAATAAATAAAATGTCATAGTAAGACATTTCTTGGCTCACTGGTAAACATTGTTTATTTTAAAATTCTTTTTGAGGACCCAGGCTCGATTCCCAGCACCCACATGGTTGCTACCAACTGTCCTTAACTCCAGTTCCAGGGGAATCTGAAACCCTCTTCTGACCTCCACGGCATTGCACAACACGGATGCGCTCATATACTCCAGCACTCTGGAGGTAGAGGCAGGCAGATCTCTGTGAGTTTGAAGCTAGCCTGGTCTACATAGTGAGTTCCAGGACAGCTGGGGCTACAGGGAGACCCTGTCTCAAAAAAACCTCTGGGGCAATACCAGAGAAACAGCTCAAATGTTCAAAGTGATGCAGGGGCCCTGGAAGCTGCAAGGGGCACCAACTGCTTGTGGAAGCACCAGTTCACCTTTATAGTCCATGCATATATTTTTTAACACAATAAAATCTATGTGAAACTAAGAGCTTCAGAAATCAATGAAAATTCACTGACCTTTTGTTTTAGTTCATGTGTGTCACTGGAAATGAATTCAATCACATATGGCATCTCAATGGACATAGCTAAGGAGAAGCTGCGAAAAATGAAGAGGCCATCTTAGTGCAAGATCGTAAATTCCTACCTGTAGTTGTTTCAAATAATTTTTCCTCCCTTACAGTGCTGGAAATTAAGCCTAGGGCCCCATACATACTGAGAAAGCACTCTAACACCACACCACACCCTTGGTCTTTCCAACATTCTAAATGAAAATATAAACTATAAAGCCAATGGTCATTGAATGACGCTTTATATTTTAGGTACTAACCTTTGTTTTGTTCCCATTTCCTTTATACAAATCTTCTTTACTGTATCCTGTTGAAAGAAAACTATATGTGTATAATGGAATTGCTATTAAGCTTTAGAAGACCCTAACCTGAAGGTGATCTCAGTCAGGCCACAGCAGGCAGCAGCAGGAGATGGTCTCTTTTCCAAGAGTGGAGCACAGAGTGTTGGGGATTACCTCCAACTATTTTTGCAATGACAGTTTATTCTTTATGTGTCTCTCTGTGTTTGTTTTGTTGTTGCTGTGCTGGGGAGTGAGCCCAGGACCTTACACAAGCTAGACCTCTGTTCTGTCATTGACCTATGTTCCCAACCATTGACAGTTTGTGTGTATATGTATATATGTGTGTACATGCATGTGAATGCAGGCAACCTGCATGCCACAGCATACATGTGGAGGTCAGGAGACAACCCTTGGAGTCATTTCTCTCCTGTCATCTTGTGGGATCTAGGGATTGAACTCAGGTCATCAGGCCTGTGTACAAAGGTCTCTACCCACTGAGCCATCTCACTGGCCCTATTTTAAAAATTTTAAAAGGGAGACAGTCTCATTAAGTTATCCCAGCTGGCCTTGAATTAACTCTGTAGCCTATGTTGATGTGAACTAAAATTCTTCATGTTTGGCTGGAGAGATGGCTCAGCAATTAAGAGCATGTATTGTTCCAGGCGTGGTGGTGCAAGCCTTTAATCCCAGCACTTGGGAGGCAGAGGCAGGCAGATCTTTGTGAGTTCAAGGCCAGCCTGGTCTACATAGTGAGTTCCAGACCACCTGGGGCTACAGGGAGACCCTATCTCAAAAAGACCAAACAAAACAAAACAAAAAACCAAACCAAAACAAAAACCCTGAGTTCAGTTCCTAGCACCCATGTAAGGAAATTCACAACTACCCATAACTCCAGCTCCAGGAGATCTGACTCCCTCTTCTGGATTCTGAGGGCACCTGTTCTCATATGTACATGCCCACATACAGAAGTAAACATACACACAATTAAAAAATAATAGAACCCCTAGTGGCCTTTATTATTAAAATATTATATAATAATATAATAATATTATATATTATAATATATAATAAT